CCACCCTTGGAAAAATTTCGGCCAAAAATCAAAATTTCACATGCGTGTTTTTTGAGCTCCATCGATTCGTCTCGACGCAAAAAGGTCACAAACATGCATTTATATAGTGTTTCGGTCAATAATAAGGAAGAAATCGTCGGTTAAAGATCGTGAACGCTCAAAAAACGATTAAAATGTGCCGAAAATGTCTATTATTTCGGATCTGCAACTTCTAGCATGTTTTTTAATGAGTTTGACGCAGTCTTTGCGTCCGTGCGCTGAAAATGATGTAAAATTTAAGCCATTTTCACTGTTACCCAGGCCTAGTAGGTAGAAGCTGCTGAATGAAAAAATAATCTAAGCCATTGGTTGCAGGCATCAACTTCAATGGAACAGAGCAAAGCCCTTAGGCAGGCCTTGGATGCGATAGAGAAGGAAAGGTTTAGCTGCCTGTCCGCTTATCATAGGCGTAGTTAATAATCACACGAAGCCAATAGGCTTAATAAAACACTGCGGCTTAAATGTTCGAATTTCGCGCATCTGAAAGGTCTGGAGGAGCAAAGCAAAAAGCCTTTAGAATCTTCATAGATATACTCGGTGTTTATTCTGCGAGCTTTGCAATAAAAAGTTGTTCATTCCGGCTAGAGCTTTCTCAATTATTTCAGGAAAACACGTTCAAAGCCCCATCATCAACAAACATAAAGCAAATAGCGGCAGAAGGGTGTGCTTCAGCTGTGGCTTGAGCGGCCTCGCCCTGCTGAAGTGGTGATGATGAGTCAGCGTTCTGTTCTCCATCAATTCCTCTGGAACGGGGATGGTTCGACATTCGACCAATAAGCCACATCCGGTGCATCCGGTTGGTTGATACGTGTAGCACACTTGACCCTCTGGACAGTAGCGGTTCGTGCAGGGATCCTCCACGGGCGTGGCCCGGCAGTGCAAATAAGCTGCAAACAACTCGCTGTCGCGTCCAACTGATCAATCCAACTTAACTTACTGTCTTTGCATACTCCTTTCGAGCAGCAGCTGCCGCAGCAGGAGTCATCATCAAAGCACTGCGAAAAAAACCTTCAAGTTACTACAGCTCTGAAGTGGCGTAGGTACTTACAGGCTGGCCGTAGGTTCTGCAGTCCTCCTGGGCCCGGCTAGGGAACCCGAGGCTTAAGAGGAGAAGCAGGTGAACAGCGCACTCACAGAACATTCTCGAAAGCGGCACTGCACTAAGCACATGAAGCGCTAAAAGCCTTTTTAACGAAAAATGTCGCTTTGCTAATTGGACGCATTAGATCAACACTTAACACCTGCGATCAATTAGTATAAACATCTATTTTAATATTCCAGTCGTTTTTAAACAACCTTCTGCACCCAACTTCGGATAGTTTCGTTGCATTCAACACGGGCAAAGTAGCCAGGCAGCTTTTGGCAGAGTTCCCCAGCCTGCAGGCTTTGGAGCGGCCGAATCAACGTGGCCCATCCGTCCGCCTGGTCTGGACATAAATGGATGGCTTTCTGCGCGAAGAGCGCCGCTCTTTTCCAGTCGCCGGCCCTTTGGAAGGACAGAGCTGCCAAGCACTGCACCTACAAGCTTCCTATTGGCTGCCGTTCGAACTTTGTCCCGTCCCGCTACGTACCTTGGAAGCGTCCATGTGGCGCTGTCCGAGTTTCAGTGCGATATTGGCGCAGTTCGCGCCTGCTTGCAGTCGGCCTTTGTCCACTTCCAGCCTCAGAATCATCTGCGATAAGCTCAACCAAGTGGAGCCTATGTTGGGATACTTGTGAACCAAACGGCTCAATCCGGCCAGCGCCTCCTTCCGGTCGTTCTACGGCAGAGCCAATAGCGGGTCATCGGTAAGAACCAGAGCGCGCAAGCACTTACCTTCAGTAGGTAAAACTGCGACAAGAGCGTGGCATAGTGGTAAATAAACTCCGGCTGGTTGTGGTTGAGTCCGAAGGAGCTGGTTTCCAAAGCGACCAGCTCTTTGAGGACTAGCTGGCTCAACTTCCAGTCCTTCTGGAGCAGGGAGAGGGCGAACGTGGCATATAAACTCCAAGGCGACGGCGGGTTTAAGCCGATACTAGATAACGATTTATAGTCGATTTATCTCAACATTTCAAGATTATCTTTTTTGTTTCCTGGATTTCAGTCAACTGGTGAAATAAAAATGTTTATTTCCTATTACGTTTCGGCGAGACAACAGCGCCATCATCAGATTTAAAATTTACACAAACTCATGATTGGTAAAAATCAACGTT